GGGATGTGAAGGGTAAACCAAAGGAGGAGGCTGCAATGCTTGGTAAGAAATGTACGCATTATCCTGCCCATGTAATTGTAACCCCTCTGTACAGCATGTTCACAAATAAAATAAAAAAATAAATATCTATAATGTTTTATAAAATAGGAAATTGTTGATTCAGAAGTTCCAGTGGTGTGTCTAGAGAATCTATATTTTTAAATTCTGTTAATGGTTATGATACATAATAGAGCTTAAAAATCATCCTGTCTCATAGTGTGGATTTTGCTACTGAAGAGGAAAAAATATCAACACATACCTAACAATTAAAAGACCAAAAAAGGTCAGATAAAACAAATATCATGTGCTCCCTCCATCCTCTATTCTTTTTCTCTGTTCCTAGAGGTAATAAGATAAAAAAAAAACCCTGATTTTGCTGTTCCAATGTATACTGTATATCTTCTATATCATACATACCATAGTAATAGAAGAAGGAGCATTATCTATGGGCATAGATGCAAGCATGTGGACAGATAGGTTAGAATGTTCTTTAGGTTGCTTCTGTTTTCTCAGTGAAAGAAAAAACAAGGGTACCAGGGAAGACCTAGGGCAGAAGAACAATTGGAGGTGTAAAAGAGATAAGACATTATAGTCACTTAAAAGCATGCTGCAGTACTCAAAGCCTGTCTCTTCTACTTGATATTGACAAATTACTCTTCAGAGTAACTGTACCTGTATATATTCTTGTAAGCAGTTGATGCCCCAATCAATACCTGGTATTCATCAATACCTGGTATCATTTCAAAGGAATTGTCAGTTTGGTAGTTTTAATTTTTTGATTATTAAAGAGTGAATTTATTTGTAATTTAGTCCATATAATTTTAATTTAGTTAATATAATTCTATATATTCTATTCACACCTTTTGCTCATTTTTTTCAAATGCCTTTTTCTGGTTGATATAATTTCTCTTGATGCAATTTGGATAATATGTCGGTGTTTACATTAAGACTGTACAAATATTTTCACTGTTGAGTCTATGAACATTGCTCCTTTCTTGTAAGATCATGTGTTTCTCCTAGTTAATGATTTCCTTGTTTTTCCAAATGCTCCGTGTTTGCTATCCTATCAGAAGTTAATATCCACTCATTAAAAAAGTTCCTGTTCTTTTTTCTTTCTCATTCCTGTGTTTGGGGGGGGGGGAGGTTTGTCCCAGAAGTCTTTACTCCAAACCACCTATCCTCTGGTTCTATTGTCTTGGTTTCTTTCTGAATGCCCGAATTTCTAGCCTTTGGATTTTCTTTGCCTAGCATCCTGAATAGGATTTCCTGTTTTCCAAATCACTTGTCTTCTCCCATGGTATGGTTGATATTTATCTTTCAGTCGTTTTCCCCAAATGGGGTATATTTGAATCCTTGCATGATTTTTAATTGATCTCACTAGGTTTAGAATTTTAGATAGAAAATAATTTCTAGCTTTAAAGAGTCTGCTTGGTTGCCTTCTAGTTTATCTTTTAGAAAAATTCAATTGCTACTCCTTTTTCCAAACTCTTTGCATATAACCTGCCAGCACCCCCAGCCATGCTTTTGAGCTTGAGGTTTCACAACAATGGATTATTTGTCATTCACTATGCTTGGCCTTCTGTAAACCACTCTGGAGATTCTGGGAACACACACACACACACACACACACACACACACACACACATTCATACACATTTAGTGGTCCTGGGATTTGAACTCAGGGTCTTGTGTTTGCTAGGTAAGTGGTCTATCACCTAAACCATGCCCACAGCCTGATCCTGTAAAATTTTTTATTTTGCATTATCTCTCAGTTCATTATTTCTAAGTGCTACTTCTAAATGTATACTTGGATTTGGCTTCAGATGAAGAGCAGATTCATTTTTATGCCTTTATGCCTTTAACATGCTATCCTTCCTAGGATGTATTTCCTCTTTCATGCCTTCTCCTATCCTAGTGAATCCCTACTCACTCTTCAAAACCCATTTCTAACATCAGTCCCTCCATGATACCTGCCAAGGTAAAAAAAAATTTTTTTGGTAGTACTAGGGTTTGAATTTAGGATTTTCTTTTGCTAAGGCAGGTCTTCTATCACTTGAGCCACAACCCATCTATGTCCTTTTTTGATTTTTCAGGTAGCAAAGTTTTTTAAAATTTTTGCTGTGGGCTGGTCTTGGATGATGATGCTCCTACCTACACTGTACCTCATAGCTAGGGCTATAAACACTCACCACCATGCTTGGCTTCTTATCATGTGGGGGTCTTCCTAATTTTGTGTCTGGGCTGTGTTAGTGTTATGATCCTTCCATTCTCTGCTTCCTGAATAGCTGGGACTGCAGGTGTGAGCCACTGTGTCCAGCTAAGAAATCTTTTATGTCACTATGCCCACAGTCTACCATGGCGCTTGTAATGTCACTCCATAAAAGTTGGCCATATTTGCTTCCTCCACTTACCAGAAACTTCTTAGGATCAGGATGTTTATTCACTCTGTACTTACTGTTTGACATCATATAATGCCCTAAGTAGATGAATAAATTCAACATGAAAAAAAGATTGTGCAAAATAGATACTCTCATCTGAGGTTTCAGATGGGCATTCTTTATTGAATAAGTACTACCTGAGCCTTTATTATGGACCAGGTTCACTAAGACTGAAGGAGAGGAGCTGGGAATGTGGCTTAGTGGTAGAGTGTTGCCTAGCATGTATGAAGCCCTGGGTTTAATTCCTCAGTACCACATAAACAAAAAAAAGCCAGAAGTGGTGCTGTGGTAGAGTGCTAGCTCTGAGCAAAAGAAGCTCAGGGACAGTGCCCAGGCCCTGTGGTCAAGCCCCAGGACTGGCAAAAAAAGAAAAAAAGAAAGACCAAAGGAGATTCAAAGAGGAAAGAGATTCTTTCTTTTGAAACTCTCTATGTAATGGAGATTGTAATATAATTTGTAGACAAATGATATACAATTCACATTCCATAGTTCAGTAGTATAACACCTGTCTGAGATTGAGCCCCAGAATCACAAAAGAATCAAAGAACAAAAAATGTGCTCCTGAGATTTTAGCACATACACAGTGTCATTCAACTATTACTACTTTATAAAGAACATTTGCTATCTGTATGAAGTTCTGTACATACATTAGTCCCAAAAGCAGGGCAGAGGGAATCTCTCCCAGAGAGGAAACACATTCCAGGGAAAAAAGCCGAGTTCCATGATGGCCCAGCATCTGGAAATTATGAAAAGTGAAGGGTTTGGGTGGTGGCTCATCTCTAAAATCCTAGCTGTTCAGGAGGCTAAGATTTGAGGATTGTGATTCAAAGTCACCTTAGACAGGAAAGTCCTGTTAACCACCAGAAAGCTGGAAGCAGAGTTGTGGCTCAAGTGGCAGAATGCCATCCTGGAGCAAAAAAGCTCAAGGTCACTGTCCAGGCCCTGAATTTAAGCCCCAGGACTGGTACAAAAAAAGATGTAGGGATAGTGGAGGTGTTGAAATCATCATCTCAAAATTACTTCACTGCTGGTTTTGCCCCAACCTTCCAGTAAATAGGCTTTTTTATTTTCTTATCCAACTGCTCAGATTATGTATAAACACTGTCTGTATTGACATCCATCAAGTTCAGCAAGAATCATTTCTTGAAGATTTTGTAGATCCAAGAAGTTAAGGCCACTATAGCAACACCATTAAGGTACTCTGACAATGAACAGACGTACTTCGGTTATGAAAAGCCAAGATGAAGATTTAATAAATTCATGGACTCTCAAAATAAAATACTTTATTTTTAAAATTTATTGTATTCTAAGGGTGATACCAGACAGGTTATACAGTTATATAAGTAAGGTAATAGATACATTTCTTGTTACCCCCTCCCTTGTTTTCTTCTACTTTCCCTCCCCTTCTACTCCCCCAAGTTTTAACGTTCAAAGATGAAAGATTTTCTAGGTGAATTTTCTGCTCATGAAGAAGTTCTGCTTTCTTGGACTTCAGTTTTCCAGCTTATATATACTTCAGAAGTCTGGTCCCACCTACCTTATCACCATGCGGTTCTATACCTTTGAAACTTTTCAAAAGACATGCTTTAAAAATTATTATTTTACATATTACTACTAGAACGTCGACCACATCTCTAGCTTTAAATATTCAAAACTTTTGGCTCCATTAGGTTTCAACTGAATCCAGATCATTGAAGAATTCTAAATGGGAGAGCTGAGGTGGGCAAACTTCAGACAAAGAAGGTAGAAAGTACGTTTTGTCAGGCACAAGCAATGGCAAACCTTTGGTTTCCTGATTTTTCACTTTGGGTCTGTCCATACTGTCTTCCCTCAGTAAAGAACTGTACCTTAGGGTGCAATTCTGAACCATTAGATGAAGAACTGGAGGGTTCTGCAAATCAGAGGTTTGGAGAAATTGTTCACCCACGTTCAACATTCAACCTTCACTTCTGCATCAACACTACTTACAAAATGTCAGATCAGAAAGCACCGAATACTTTTTCCAGAAGAAAAAGTTTGAAAACAACCTTCTTAACAGAGAAAGAAAACTCTTCCAGAAGTCACTTCTGCTAAGAATACTTAAACTCATGTTTAAAAACTAACGGTCTTATAATAGGATCAAGTTAATTGTAATGTCTGAAAATATTATACAACTTAAGTCTCACTGGCTTTCAGACATGAATGAGACCACCTATCTCTGTCACTCTCGTTTCTCTTTTATAATATGTAGCTTTTACTGTAAATAAGGAAGCAAACCTGCCTATTTACATCCTATCACATAACGGAGACCATACTGAATGGGGGGGGGACATGTGTGCAAATAACCAGAAGACGGTCGGCTCCTATTATGCTGTGGCTTCATTTGTGATTTTTTTCCCTCCACATTTTAGTAAGGGAACATCCATAACTAGTTGATCTAGTACTTTTGGGAACGGTGGCAAAGTTCATTTCCAACTCCAGGCGCAGTAAAATCTAATTCATTTTCCGGAGAGAAGGAAGTATGAGAACGATTCTGACAAAAGCCAGAATCAAAATAACTGCCAATGTCTAGATGAACATGGACTGGTGATTCCTCCCCCCCCACCACTAATTTTTTAAGCCTCAAAAAAAGTATTTTAAAACTCCTAGGTAAGTTTCTGGGGCAAAGAACGAAACCGTCCTTCAGTGTGGGTCCCACAGCGCTTCAACTGTGTTTCATGCAGCCCTCCCAAGAACTCCCCAAGGGTGGGTTACTAGCTCTCCTCTTTAGAGATGAAACAGGCTGGTGGATGCTGGAATGTCCCAGGCTATGCCTCAGGAGCAGAGGAAGCCGGTCTGAATCCCGGGGAGACAGGCTACCCACTTGAAGGATGATCAACAGGCAGCATTTGAAAAAGATATATATAATGCAACAAGCTACGTTCAATCTGCCTCGGGAACAGGAAAACTACAAGACTTCATAACTCAGCCAGTTCACCCGAACTCACTCCATCCCAGCAACAACGTCCCATCGCCGCCTCTTCCCCTCCACTCCGCCCCCTTCAGTGTAGCATCAAGTCTTTAAAGCCCTCAGCTGTGCGGAGCTGGGGAGGATGAGCTCCTTTACCTCTAGATCCTGCCATTTTCCTCTTTCCGTAGCCTTTTAGTGTCTGGCTGCGACAATGACTCTAACCACCAGGCTTCCCTCCCCAGACCTTGCAGTCCGGGGGTGTCCAGTGTGTGTCCAGCCTGGCGTAACAGATTCCTCTCCCGGCCGAGGGGCTTGGACGGCTCTCAGTGCAACCACGCTGCTCCTTCCGTCGGTCACGCCGTTTCCTCCGCTGGGAAGGGCTCCTTTCCTCTCCCGGCCCACTTCAAGGCTCAACGAACTCCCACACAGCCCGTACGCCCTCGCTTCCCGCACCCGCGCCACCCTACCCTGTCCCCGGCCCTGGGAATGAACCTGGTGGCCGAGCCTGGTAGCGCGCATCCGTTCCCCGGGCCGCCGACCCGCCCGCTCCGCACCCGCGGTCACCTGGCTGGGCGGGGGGGAGGGAGTGCGCCCGGGAAGCCTCCACACTCCCCAGAATGGAGCAGCCGCCCACTTCAGCCCGGGGTCCCGAGCGCGCGGGGTCCTGGCGGAGAAGAGCGTGATTTCTCCGGCCTTCTCCGCTTCCACTTACGGGGCGGGAAACTGAGGCCCAGGGTCAAGAGCAACTCCCCCGGGGTTGCGGGGGGGGGAGGGGGGTGCGGGGAAGGGCTGTCCCCGAAGGACTCGCGTGGTTCTGAGTGTCCAATTCTGGTTCCGTCCTTTGACCACGCGCCGCCGTCCGCGCTCGGGGAGGAGCCGCGCGGGGAGCGGGTCTCGGGACGAGCGCACCGCCCGGGCACGCGCAGCGAGCGAGTCTCCGCCAACTCGCCTCCAAAGTTGTCTCCCAGCCTGCCCCCGCCGCTCACCTCCCCAACACACCTTCCCGCGGGCGCGGGCCGCGCGCACCACATCCGGTCCACCTGGCGCACACCCCTCCCCACGCCCGCTCGCGGCCCCTCTCCCTCCCACGCCGCCCGCGCCTC